GCCCCGGGGGGGGGGGGGGGGGGCTGACACCCGTAAGCCTCGCGACTAGTAACACCTGTACGCCTAACCTCAGCTTTGTAGGTTTTTCTTTGCTTTCGAATTGCAGTGCATTGTAAGTCATCCCCAGGGATATTTCTCTTACGACTCAGAGAAAGACAAAAGGACGTGATAAAGCTTAATTGATGTCTTTGTAACAGTGTGTTCCGATGGGCATATTGTACAGATTTCTTTCTTCTGTTCAGCGTTCAATGATGTGTTGGTTAATAAATAATGAATTTCAAAGCATGTGGGCGTAAGCGATCGCGAAGGTACTATCCCAGCATTTGCCTAGATGAACTGAGGAATACCACGAAGTCGTCAGTCTCAGGCCAAGATTAAACGCAGGACCTTCCAAACTCAAAGGAATATGTCTCGAGGTTCTTAAATTCCCACTCTGATCGCTTTGCTTATTTGCATCTTTCTTTATTTAACGTTGCTTTCTTAGCCGCGTTTTTTAAAAGATGGTCGTGAATGACGAATTTTAAAGAATGTCAAAGCGTTCGTGGATGATTTAAAGGGAGTCTGATATCCCAAGGAAAATCACAAAAGATTATCACTGAGAGAAGATGACTCTTTTCTGGGATGTTGCCTGGTAGAATTTGACCAAATGCAGGGCGCATCATTCCGGTGGACAGTCGCCTTCATACTCGCCGCCGTGAGAACCTGAAAGCTCACTAACATCCAGCCTTTGAGCCCAGAAAGTGAAGCAGGAACGTACCGAATCCACTTCCTGACTAAGCCATTTCTTTGACTAAATAACTTCCTTGATCAACCTATCCTGACTAATCGGGTATCGAACTCAGTCATCCAACCAGTAGTCACTTACTAGTACTTAACTGGCTTGCTGGCTCACTTAGGTGCCTGCCGCTGCCTGGAATCGATTCCCGGTTAGCCATCCTGTAAGCCAGTCACTGAGTTGCGCGTAGGCTGAATGCAAAGTGGGGCGGATGTGGCCTTTTGTGCGATAGTCGGGAGTTACAGATTGGACTGGGTGGGGACCTGGCCGACCTTATGGAAATTTTTCGCTCCAGGACTCGAAACTTCCTGCGTTTTGTGTGAGAACCCATGGATACCCTTGGACTCACCACGCCCAGTTTGGCCAGATTTTTGTAAACTGGTACTGGCGTGTTCTAAGCTGCAGTGGAAAGAGAGACTTAATTACTTGAAGTGCATTGCATAAGCTAGCGCCTCAGAGAAAAACGTCTCCCTGTCGTCTTATTAAGCTTGTGGCTCCAGTAACTAATTAGCGTGACCATTTCTTTTTTGCGTTCTTCAGTTCACATTTTTTGGGGTTATGCATTTTTATTTGCATGTGTAGGTTTACGACCACCAGTGGGTCGCGAGACGAAATTTAAATTTGGGGAAAATGGCTTATGCAAGGACGATGACGAAATTGAGTTCTGTGGAGACGTCGAGGAAAATCTTTGCCAATTCTTAACACTGTCCGTAGCTTCTCGCTGTGGCCGCTTTACCTCAGAGTCTTGTCTGTGAAGAAATTCCCTGCTCCCATAGAGGCCAATCCGAGTCTTCCAATCCCTTACCAGACACTTTACTTACCGCATCATCATTCTCACTTTTACTTTGTCTTTGTTATATCTTATTTTCAAAATGTAATCTCTCTTCTAGACCTTTGTATGCCATGCACCCAAGAGAAGTGTTTATACAACAGAAAGCATTTTCTCAAATATTATTTGTTGATTACGATGTAACATAGTGTGTGAGATTATTTCTGTTTTTCATATTTCTTACATTTGGCTTAATTATCATTCCTTCCACTCTGCAAACATGTTTCGTTGTGCCACATTCATTGTTTACCTCTGGATGTTTGTGCGAATTGTCATTATTTTTCTCATTTCTAATCACCGCTCTATCCCTCTGCATAGTCTACTCGCCATTCTTTCCGTAACATCATATAAGTGTTGATATTATTCTAATTTCGCGCCGTATTACAGGTATATCACCATGAACGAGGGTTAAACCCTTTCCGTAACGGAGTAAGCTAACAAACAAACCAACCAACAAGCTCCACTAAGCAGAGTCCAACTTGAGAAGCTGATAGTACGTTCAACTTAGTCAAAAATTTACCTATATTTTATGGAACTCGAAAGGTGTCTTGAGTCAGAGGAATCGAATCCAGACACTCCAACCCTGTTTCCGTAAGGTCCATTTTAATATTGTCCTCCCAACTACGCCGTCCCAGGGCTGTTTATTATCACAATCATAATAGATAACGATGCGTAACGAAACTGAATCGAAATCATGGTCCAGAATAGAATTCGGCGTAAACAGAGGAAGAAAACAATCATGAATACAGGAAATGATCCTGTTCGCTTTCACAGCGCAGACAAAAAATCGCGGATTGCGTTGTAAGACACGCAGTATTGTCACCACATATCCGGAACAAGAGTTTCTTTAGTGCAGAGGCAGCGTGAAGAACGGAAGATGACGTGACTAGGTGCTGTGTAAGCCAACAGCAGGGGTTGACGTTCGGCGAACAATGTCCAGGCATTCACAACGAGCTCTGAAACTGGAAGACGACATCACAAAACAAAGGATTGATATTTCGCGGAAGTGTGACGCTGCATGTTCGATCTGTCCGTCTGAATGGAGACGTGTGTACAGCTAATGAATCAGTCTCATGGCGTGTTATTTTTAGCCGTCGTGCTTGTTCGCCCTTACCAACACAGGCCCAAATGTCCGGGCGGTCCTCAAGCCCGTCTCGCCAAGAAACACAGAATTACGCAAGTCGAGAATAATATTCTCATATATTCTGGTGTACCGCCACGGTGGTCGCGCGGTTAGAACGCTGGCCTTGTAATCCTGGGGTCTCGGGTTCGATTCTCGTCAGCCAGAACACTAAATAATAATAAGATGAGGTGGTCTAGCGGTTAGAACGCTGGCCTTGTAATCCTGGTGTCTCGGGTTCGATTCCCGGCGGTGCCGGAATTTATAACTTGTGTTGGGCAAGATCGTGGTCTAGGCAACACGGGGTTTTCCTCCGGGGGCTTCCCCGGTTTCTCCGTGGCATCCCACCAATTACTCCATTCACACACAGACGAAGGCAATGGCAAACCACTTCTGGATCATCTGCCAAGAACGTATATGAACAGGTCCCAGTCCGAGAAAAGGATGGAAGGATCCTGTTCATATGGACATGTCGTCAGACAGAACACTAAATAAATAATAAATATTCTGGTGTAAGCTACTTTTTTTATTCATCCTCTTGAATAGATCACGGCCACTTCCAGATTATTTCAGTTTATCACCCTGTGATTCCATGGCATGTTCGTCGTGTTCAGTCGAGTAGAAGTCGATAGTAGTTAGTAGTCAGTTTAACCACATCGAGAGTAAGACCATGAAACAGATACGTCCTGACTCATACCAAGTAGAGCTCAGTATTTCATTTCTCTATTCGTTTATTTGCTTGTGTATGGATATTTTAATTGATTCCGAGAAATATGCTTTTAATGATACGTCTTTAACTTGATGTTGGATGAACTTTAACCTACCACAACGCATTCTTGTAGCTGCACATGCAACTAACGCGTTATGACTTTCAGGAATTAGTAACACCCACTTGGGTCGGAGAAAGTGAGGCAGGGCCGAGCTGCTACATGAATATTCTCTCCGTCCGTCCGTCCGTCCGTCCGAAACTACACAAAGGATTTCGATCAAATTCGGAATCGGGGCTCAGCAATGCAATTTGCCGGGTGATTTGGGGGAGTAGCGGTCCAATGCAGGCACTTTGTTTGCCCTGTCAAATTCGTCAATTTTTCTGGCAACTACACTCCGTCACAGCGTCTGAAACCGCTTTCAGCATTTTGACCGCTGTGAAAACCTGAAATCTCATCGTCAGTATTCGAAATACTGACCTTAACTATGCCTTCTATTTATGTGCAATATGACGCTGTCTCTAAGAGAAAGAAAAACAAAGTTTGGGTTCTTTTGGCCGCGTATGAAAAAGGAGGGACGTTGCCTGGCCTTTATAATACGTAAGAGTAGCCTACCGGACCCTATTGTATGGCAAGCACTGCACCTGTTTTCAGCATCCCTTCACATAGGGGTAACCACCCCCTTCCATATAAGTCTACCTGTTGGAGATGAATTTCAATACACCCCACCCCTACGAAATATCTGGTTTGGGGAGGGCAGAGGGAGTGAAAATAGTGAATAGAGTAGAATCCACCAGTAGATGGGCTGTAGACATTTAGATTCAGCCACTCGCCGGGCACCCTTCACTCACGTGTAAGTCACGTGACCTAGCTACCTCTCTTTTGTACCCCTCATGCCCCCCCTTCTTTTTCGTTTTTTTTCATTCCGTTGTTCCTGCCCCCCACCTAGAAACGGATTTTGAAACATTTTGACCACAGTTTCTAGTATGAGCACGTCCATGCAGGTC